AGCATGAGGCGGCTAAGGGCAGCAGTGGCAGGAGAAGAGTAGCGTGCGACTACAGCGTCGTACAAGGTCCTAGCACTCTTGTACTGACTGAAGTGCGCGCGCTCAGAGGACGGCAAGTGACTACGCACAGCAAGACGGGCAGCAGCATCGCGTGTGGCCCACTGTGAGCAAACAGTGCTGTCAGCATCGGCAGCAGGGGCAGCAGAGGCGCCAGACGTGAGATCGAACAGTGAGAGACCGTCCTTCCTATCGCACTGTAGGAAAAGCTGTAGATCATCGACCCAGACCTCAAAGTCAACAGCCCTACCCTCAGCATCAAAGACGAGAACGCTAGGGGTAGCCATGACAGCAGTGGCAGCAGGCTAGGGGCAGCAGCAGCAGTAGCAACAGTAGGGGCGCGGCTCGGCGGTGCTCTTACCAGGGCAGGTGGGTAGAGTGCCGCAAGTGGTGGGGCAGGGCCGAGGCGCGTCGGCAGGGACGGGGCCGCTACAGGGCGGCAGAGGAGCGCCGCTCCTCTCTACAGGGCAGGGCCGGGACAGCGGCGGCGGCCCCTGCTGTCGGCGGCGGCGGCAGCTGCAGTCGGCGGCTGCGGCGGCTGCGGCCCCGGCTGTGGCGGCGGCGGCTGCTGCCGTCGGCGGCTGCGGCAGCTGCGGCCCCGGCAGTGGCGGCGGCTGCTGCTGCTGTAGGCTGCTGCGGCGGCTGCGGCCCCGGCTGTGGCGGCGGCGGCGGCTGCTGTCGGCGGCTGCGGCGGATGCGGCCCCGGCTGTGGCGGCGGCGGCTGCTGCTGTCAGCGGCACCGGCGGTGGCGGCTCCCGCTGCAGGGGCGGCGTCGGCTGCTGCTGCAGGGGCGGCGACGGCGGGGCGGCAGGTCCGTGAGGGAGCCGAGAAGGGGCCGCGGAGGAGCCGAGAAGGGGCCGCCAAGGGCGGTGAAGGGGCCACGAAGGGCCGTGAAGGGGCCGCGAAGGACGGCGACGGGGCCGCGAAGGGGCCGTGAGGGGCCGCGAAGGGTGGCGACGGGGCCGAGAAGGGTCGCGAAGGGCGGCTACGGGGCCGAGAAGGGCCGCGAGGGGCCGCGAAGGGCGGCGATGGGGCCGAGAAGGGCGGCGACGGGGCCGCGAAGGGCGGTGACGGGGCCTAGAAGGGGCCGCGAGGGGCCGCGAAGGGGCCGCGAGGAGCCGTAAGGGCCACGAAGGGCCGTGAGCGGGGCCGCGAAGGGCCGCGTAGGGGCCGCGAGGGAGCCGTGAGGGGGCCGCGAGGGGCCGTGAGAGGGGCCGTAAGGGAGCGCGACGGGCCGCTAAGGGTAGGGGACGCGACGGGAGTGCAGGAACACGGGGCGCGACTCGGGCAGGAGCGAAGCGCGCTCCGGGCAGGAAGAAAAAAAATTCGATCGTGGTGGGCCCTAGGAAACGTTCCCACTAGGGAACCTGCTCTATACCATGTGAAATAACGAGGAATGAATGAACTAGGAAACAGTTGGATACAAATGTGAAACCCTAGAAACATGTACCCCTTAGAGTCTACCCCACTACAGCCTACATAGGCTAAGTCATATATATCTGACATATACCTCACAAACATTTGAGGTTGTCTTGTACAGAATAAAATTTGAGTCGTTACTGATTAGGCTGGTTGTTCGAATATGCTTGCTCTGTCCTAACTGACTGAACACGTCTTCAGTTGAGTTCGTTGCACGGCCCTTCTTGTTTCTGGCCAACTGGGCAGCTGGCCCAGCTGGTCAGTGGTTTGTTTGTTGGCTTCGTTGGCAGGGTACACAGAGTGCACAGTACACCACACACGGTCCCAGAAAACAAACCTGAAAACACCCTTCTTGGTCCACCCTCGAAGATTTTGGCACCAGGCTTGTGGCAATACAGTAGTGGGTAGTGTAGGTAGGCAATGCCATCATGCTGCACGACCACCTCAACTCAGCCCTAGGAGTGTCATGTTGAGTTTGCCCAGAGCCACCCAAAATGAGGCACCCCAGTACCGGTATTCAGGACACACAAAACAAACGAAATCAAAGCGAGTTAATGACGTAGCCCAGACCGCTTCTGATTGCCTCGATCAGAGGCGATCAGTAACTTCCTGGAAGCCCTGATGCCGATTTCAGGCAATCATGGGCAATCAACTGATCGCGATCAATTGATCGCCCCAACTCAATCAACCGCCTCAAACACCCCAATCAATCACGATCACGCACAATCAGTCACGATCAGTTCATTGCATGGGATGGGGATCCTGGCGACGCTTGCGAAAAGATTACAGTTTCTCGTTGAGCTCGTCACACAATCGCGCAAACGATATCTTAAGTGTAATTTGCGATATTACGTGGAAACAGATAATTCGCTACGTCTTCGCTCTCGCCAAAATTGGGACGAAAGAATCAGGAAATGCTGACACATTTGCGAGGCAGGCGTCTTAAGGGCGTGGGCCCAAACGGGTTTGATCGCGACTGATCTGATCGGGGCGGACCTGATCGGGTTGCTTGTGATCGCAATGCCCGAGCCGCCCGATCAGTAATGCTTTTCTTAGAAGATTCTTCTCGGCTGCTCAGCAAGCGGGATTCAATTACCTGGTATTTTCGTGGCAATCTTAGCGAGACTGGCGACCAGACGGCTTCTGACGAAACTTTCTGTATCCAAGTAATATCGTGAAAACCACTCCTCTCTGGAGCCGAAGTGGTGGGATTCCACCAGATTGTTCGACACAGGCTGTATGTTCCTTGGGAGCGAGGAGAATGATTGGATGGCGAAGTGGGTGCCATTCCAGGGTGTTCTGTACAGGCTGGACATCTTCGTGAGGGGTTGACGAATCCCTGTAATATAGCGTAACTTTTCGTCAGTATCGCTGTGGTCCCCGATCACCCACGATCAATTGATCGTGGGTGATCGAAGAGAATCGACTATTATCGGGGGGTAAATCGGGTCTGATCGAGTTGGGGCGATCAGCTGATTGCCCCTGATTGCCTGAATTTGGCCTCCAGGCTTCCTGAAAAGTATTGATCGCGGCTGATCGAGGCGATCAAACCCGTTTGGGCCCACGCTATGAGTTTTCCAGGAATATCCGCACTGAACGGGCGGCGCGAGCAAGCAATTAGAAGCAACCCGATCAGATACCACCCGATCAGATCAGCGCCGATCAGAGGCGGTCTGGGCCACGGCCTAAATGGTTGTAGGATGGATAGTTATTTTCTGATCCGAGCTGCACTTGTTTCGATTCCATCCCGCCATACACCTTTGAAAGATCTATGAATCTAGGTCTGGCATGGTGCAAAACCCTGATTCCGCGGCTAGCACTGTGCATGTCACACCTTACATCGAAACCCTACGTAATAATGGAAATGGCAGTCGCAAAACACGGACATAGTGCCCTCTCTGCGCGGGTAGATTGTTCTGACTACCCGTCTTTTCCGTATAGAGCGTGGTCTCCTGGTCTGTTCGTTCTAGTCCGTGGAGAAATACACGTTGTCAGCGCACTGACTAAATTATCTCAAACTGTTTGTACAGCACAGGTCTCAGATTCCAGAATATTGTATCGATCTCGTCAACTTTCAGTTACATCAAGCGATTTATGCCACCAAGCTGCACCAAGCTCATCCTGTCGTGGCAATTTCAAGTGGAAGCATGTGATAGCGACTAGGTGGCGTCCGGGTGTCAGTTTTAGAGCGTGTCCGAAGTGAACCTCGTACTCTCTACGACTGTATGGAATGTCGATGAATTGGTCGGAACGTTTAATCCGAGGGTGGAAATTTGCCGACATCTCCATACGCAACTGTAGCGTCCGTCGACGTTTCACTTAAGACACGCCTTGGGAGCTTTCGAGGGCGTGGCACTCCTGTTTATCCTGACAACGCGACTCTTTGGGCTACGCTTGTGGAGCGCGTCTGGCTCCCTCCCGAGGACCGTTTGCACTGTGAGAACAGCCGAGTCGACCCGTCCATCACCCAGCTCAGGCAGGATGCCTTGTTCGTTTCTCAGCTCCCACCCACTCACGTGGCTACCCAGACCACCGGGGCGAAAACCGTGTGCGGTTCGACCGCATGTGACGAAGCCCACCGAAGAACTGTACATATACAGTAACGCCAACGCAACATCGCAGATCCATGAACACCAGCTGGTTCGCTCGTCGTATGCGGAACAGTCATTTCATCCCTGGAACCTCAATCGGATCCCTTCCACCGAAACCGGCCAGAAACACCAAAGGTAAAATTTCTCACCCCCCCACACATCCACTCTCCACTCGTTCGTCGTTACTGTAGACATGGCCGAGTGTTCTGTGTTTCGAGTCCGCGGAAACTGTGTTTTCTACTGTACGTGTAACGGGCTGAACCGTATGTGTCGAAGTTCCCCACTGGTACCAGTGGTTAGCAAAAGGGAAAACACACCAAATGGTTTTCAACTACGTTTCCCTGCTATCGATCTGGGCCCAAGACTTTATCACTGTAATGTAAACGTCATGAGAGATCCCCTTACTGTATTTTAGGTAACGCTGTGGTTTCGAGGTCTGCAAAATGGCGAGAACCACACAACGGGAATTTCCACGTCAGCCTACTTGAACAGTGTATTTTCTTTCAATCCCGTCCGATAAGTGACAGCTAGCAACTGCCTTCCCTCCCATTTTCTCTTCCGTTTCAAGCAATATTACCATTTTGAGCCTACAGCAATGATAGTGTTCAGCAGATTAGGGCTTCCGCTTTCTTGTAACGTTCAGGGTTGCTAGTACACGGACAATCCCAGTAGCTTCAACGGCCGCTTTAGCTTCCAGTGTCTAGCTTTCGATTACAAATCTCGTCGGTGACGAAGTAAAGCCTGGAACAAGAAAAAAAATCAGGGCCAAATAAATCTAATATAAAAACGTTCCAAAAAAAGAAGAAGAAAAAAACCTACAAAATATAGCAACACACCTACAGCAGCAGCTGCATGGGAACTTTGAGCGGAGGAAGAGGCGATGGTGCTTGCAATCTTTCCTGGGAACCAGAGTCGCGTCCCTCCTTGAAACAGATGGAAGAAGAGTCGAGCCGTTTCCGCTGGCAGAAAGTCTCCCATAAGTGGCTCTGCCAACGGACTGTGAAAAGGTGAGGCTCAGATTTTTTCCTGTCTCATTTTATCGTGGCCACTTTGTCAGACCAAACGCAGCGATTGCGTTTTTTTTTTTTCCTCATTTCTCCCATCTCTTCCCCTTATTTTTTTCAATGCCTGCCTTTCCTCTCTCTATGTCTCCCCCTCCTCCCCCCCGGATCCTATTCCCGTTGTATGCAAGGGCTGTATATAATCAGAGAATGATTCACTTGTACCTCTCCATGCTCTCCATTCACGTGTGTGCGCAAAGCCGTATCATTAATTTCTCTGTGCTGCTCCCATGCCGTTCCCCCTCCCCCTCCCCCCCCCCTCCCCCCCCCTCCCTCCCTCTCTCACAGGAACCACTTCACGTGTGTGTGGAAGGCCGTGTAGTTTTCAGAGAAAGAATCCCCTCTCTACTGCTCCCACCGGGAGCAAGGCATGCTCCCCCCCCCCCTCCCCCCCAATCCCCATCTACGTCACGTGTGTTTGTGCAAGGCCGTCACAGGACGCACACTCACTAGCTTGCGTGTCATCCCTCATTTCTACCTCTCTCCCATGATTCCCTGCCCCCTTCCCAGGATCTACTTCACGTGTGTGTGCAAGGCCTTATAGATACAGAGAAGGATTCCCTCTCTACAGATACTATGCCCCCCCCTCCTCTCCCCTCCCTCCCCCTCCCAGAACCTACTTCACGTGTGTGTGCAAGGCCAAATCGACTCAACAATCCTCTCTCCCTTGGCCCCCTTCCCTGTCCGCCCTCCCTCCGTTAACCAGGATCTACTTCGCATGTGTGTGCAAGGCCGTCACAGGATGCCCGGCACGCAAAGTGGAGGACCGCATCGCCGGCCCGCCCCGCGGCAAGCACTCTGCACCGCCCGCCGTCGTGACTTTTGAGTCGACTCAAAAGTCAAAAGTGGAGGACCGCATTGCCGGCCCGCCTCGCGGCAAGCACTCCGCGCTGACCGCCGCTGCTACTGCTTCTGCTGCTGCTGCCAGCACGGCGGACGCGACCTATGCTGCTGATACTGCTGATGCTGCCGATGCGGCTGATGCTGCTGCTGATGATGCGGCTGCGCCGGCTCTTGAGGATGAACGCCCCACCCGCCCCGAGCGCATGGAGATGCGCAAGGTGATACGCATGACGACTTCAGGCTTCCACAACCACCCTTCCTCGTTGTGTCTCAAGCGCCGCCGCCGCGCCGACGTCAGAGCAAGCGCCATGGCTGCTCCTTTTCAAGACGCGGCAGCAGCCTACGCAGCACCGCTTGCTGCCCTCCTGAAACCTCACCATGTCCCATCTCATCATGCCGCAACTTCGCAAGGCGCTGAAAGTCCCAAAAACGCATCACGGGGTGAACTGTTTGCGACAATCCCTCAATTCATTCCTGAGGTGCAGACCCGCGGCGACAATCCCAAGGAGATCCTGTGCGCGTCAAAACCACTCACTGACCTCATCCCGTCCTATCGCTCGCTTGGTGATACCAAGGAGACTTGCACTGCCCTTGCGCCTGCTGTCCTCTCGCACAGAATCGCCGGCACAGCACAGCGGAGGAACTTCGGGAGCATGCATGAGCAGATTATGGCACTTAGCAAAGAGACAGAGGAGATAAGCCAGGCTGAGGATAAACTGGGCTTCCCACTTGATGGGGTCTGCTTCTCTGCTGCTGAACGGATGAGCTATCGGCCAAAAGAGCTGGAATTTCAGCCTCAGGAGTTGTTAAATCAGCCTCAGGAGTTAAGATATCAGCCTGGGCAGTTTGAGGAGTTGAGGTATCGGCCTGGGGAGTTGAGCTACCAGGCTTCAAAGCGGCAGAGGGCAACGCAGGTGAAAGCTGAGCCAGACGTTTCTTTGGAGAGTCCCGGCGCCAGCTGCTGCCAGGATGAGCCGCCCTGGCGTGCCGACAGCTGTGTGTCTGCCCCACACTTCTCAGCCGTGGCTGCTCAACGGTCCTCAGCTGCCACCTGTGCTATAGGGAACTTGCAAAGAACATCGTCGTATAGCCACGACGGGCTGCCCTGGCCTGCTGGAAGCTCCATGTCTGCTCCACACTTGCCTGCTGGGCCGCTTTGGTCTGCTGCTGGCGGCGGCGATGCATCGTTCTTCCCTCGGCTGTCTGCGACGACCTGCGCCACTCAAGGGATGCTGCACTGGAGCAGCCTCGGACTGCCACAGCGCTTCCCAAACCAATGTTCGAACCCAGCAGGTCCGGCAGGCCCGCCAGGCCTGGCAGAACCTGCAGAAAACACCGAACCAGCAGGCCTGGCACCTTCAGCGTTCCTAGCACGCCCAGAAGCGCAAACAGCCGCAGCAACCTCGGCAGTGGCTCTTCCGCAAGACTGGCAGTTTCCAGCAAGTGCCAAGGTTGGCGAGAGCAGCAGCCCTGATGTCGCACTATTGCTGGAGGAGCTGTTGACTCCGGCTGAGTGGGAGGTCGTGCTCTCACGGATGGTCCAGAAGCAAGGACCGTTGGATAAGGGAGTGGAGCAGCAGATGAACGGTGTGGATGATAGTAGTAGCGCCTGCATGCCCGTGGCTCAAGGCGCTGGCGTGTGCAGCAGCAGCAGTAGCTTTGTTGATGCTCCAGGCGCTGGGGGGGCAGCTCCTGCTGCAAGTATGGATTCTGGCGTTGCTGATAATGCTGCTGGTAGCGCTGTTGGTGGTGCTGGTGGCGTTGGTGATGCTGATGCTGCTGCTGTGGCCAACGCTCCAGCTTCAGTGGTTGTAGCAAGCATGGACTCCAACATTGCTGCTGCCGCTGCTGCTGCTGTTAGTGGTGGTGGTGTTGCTGCTGCTGTGGCTAATGCAGGAATGGTGCTGCGTGCATTGGATTCATACCGGGACCTCGCCTTTGCGTCTCCCACGCAAATCAGGGCGTCGCCCCTGCCAGAACCCCTGCCATTCCCTGCTGCCCCTGCTGCCCCTGCTGCTGCTGCTCAGACCGGTGCTTCTTCTGCTGCTCCGTCAATGATTGCTCCTGATTCGATACTCGCTCAATCTGCACCTGCCGTACCTAACACTATGGGAGCTACCCCCTTGGATCCTTCAGCCAAGATCAAGACCGAGGTGAGCACCTCCCTTTTTTTTTTTTTTTTTTTTTTTTGGCACTTTGCCTTCTGTGTTCCTAGCAACGATTCTCTTCTTGCATTTCTCCATCTTACACCCTGTCCCATCCTGTGCATATATTCGTTGCAGCTTATGCAGCATGAAGAGTTGGCACTGGCCTGGCCAAGCTATCCTGTGCCAACCTACGCTGTGCCGACCTATCCTGCGCCGACCCCTTACTCCCCAAAGAGGTCTGCCCTGACCTATCATGCCACCGCCCAGCGTTGCTTATCGTATCCTTCACCAACCCTGTACACCCCATCGCATAACACCTCCTTCCACCGCACACCATCCCATAACACCCTGTCGCATCTGCATCAAGCTACAGCTCGTCCGGTGCATTCACCTGCAGACCTGGTGTCAGCAAGATCACTGCTGGAGTCACCTGCAGATTTGGTGTCAGCACGGCCACTGTTACAGTCACCTGCAAAATTGGCTTCAGAAACCTCACCGATACAATCACTTGCAGATCTTGTTTCAGCAAGGCCACTGCTACAGTCACCTGCAGATCTGATTTCGGCAAGATCACCGCTACAGTCACTTGAGGATCTGATGTCAGCAGGACCACCAATACTGTCACCTGCCACTCTGGCTTCAGCGGGACCATCGATACAGTCACCTGTGGATCTGGTGTTAGCGAGATCACCGATACAGTCACCTGCAAAGCCGCCAGCAGCACCACCGCTACAGTCTCCTTTCTCGCTTTCACGTGCGGAATTGCTACGGTCTTTCAACCAGTCACCTGCGATCGATGCACAGTCCATGGACTTGCTTCTGTGGCAGCTTGAATCAGAGCTCCAGGCGTCAAGCCTCGTTATGTCACCACCAATGGCAGTAGCAGCAGCACCTGCAGCAGCACCTGCAGCAGCAGCAGCGGCGGCGGCGGCAGGAGCAGCAGCAGCAGCAGCAGCAGCAGCAGCAGCAGCAGCAGCAGCAGCAGCAGAAGATGAGCCGAAGTATCTCCCTGCACCTATTCATACCGAGATGCATGTACCAACCTTGGTTGTCGCAGCAACAGGAGCCGTGGAAACAGCAGCACAGCGCCCGCTACAGCCAAACCCGCTACAGCCGCACCTGCAGGTCAGAAGCCCAACCATATTACCTCGGTCATTCTTGCAGCAAGGAGAGGGAACATCTGGTGGTCAAACAAGCATGGGAGGGGGTCACGTTGGCTTGTACGATGGTCAAATGGCCATGTGTGTTGATCAAACAGGCATGTGTGGTGGTCAGTTGATGGGTATGGGCAGCGTTCAAGTGGGTATGGAGTCTTCTTGGGGACAGCAGGATGGGGAACAGGAGCTGTTTCCTTCAGCCGTGGCTGGCAGTCAAGGGGACGGGAAGGGGCTCTCTCAAAACGAGCTCCCTCAAACGGCGCTCTCTCAGAACGAGCCCTCTCAGGAGGAGCTCTCTCAAAACGAGGCTTTTCAAGATGAGCTCACAACAAACTATGACAAATTACTTGAGTCGATGTCTTTTCATGGCAACGACATATCTGAGTGGCCTATGGCACAGCAGCTAGATGAACTTCTGCTAGACAATGCGGCTTTCACAAGCTTGAGTTAGTGTGGTGACAGGATGTGTAGGCATGGCGTGTATTCCATTTGTTTCCAATGTATTTGTTTATTCAGAGTCAACTGTAGTACCCATGTGTACCTTATATGGTGCAGTGATGTCGCCATTGCAATAATAGAAAGGAACACACCATACAGCTGTGTGTGAGCCAACAAAGAAGAAATAAAAAGGGGGGAGCGAGACTGGGTAGTAGGCTAGGCTTATTGCGAATGTGTCTATAGGCCTTGTTACTTGATTCAGTTTTGACCGTTCGGAAGGCTGACCGTCAGAAACACAATACACGGTATTCGAATCCGGAGTGCAAAATGCTAGGCCAGCTTCTCAGATTGCTCTTATTGCAATGGATGCGTGTTACAGCTTTGCTAGCAAGTGAAAAACATCATAGAACCTACCGTATTCTCCCGGACATAACACCCTAGGGTATAGCTAAAAATACAGGGAAAAAATGGGGGGGGTCTCCTCATAGGAAAAAAATACATAATACCCGGGTCTTTACATATGGCATATCTTAGTGTTAGTGTTTTTTTAATTAGTCAATGTGGGTGTTTTGCTGGTCGTTTTAGCATCACTGCCTGAGGCGCGAATGTGAGTTTCGGCCTCGAAGTTCATCGCCCCCACGAAAATGGCATGTGGCACCTCTCTTGCCACTTGCAACGGAAGATTCACCTGCACGTGGCGACAGAGAAATAGTGGGAGGGGGCAAATCTCGGCAGATTGCCTTTGAATGTACCGCGAAATTTCATTGAGGGAGAAATTCACACGACATTCTTCCGTATTGCAGCTACTCGTTAACGACTATAATAATGAATCCGTAAGAAAAGGTGGGGTGTTATAGAAAATCAGCCAAAAAGGGGGGTATAGTAGAAACGAGGTCTATCATAACACCCACCCCGCACAAGCTACCCGGGGGTGTACAATTATGGGGGGGTGTTTTGTCCGGGAGTATACGGTAGCAGATATCAATTCTACTGCTATAGCTGTACTGCACCCACAGCAAGCACGGCATGGCCTCATGGTCAGCACCAGTCAGAGATAACAAAAGGTTTGTTTGTGAGGCACACATAAACTTTGAACCCCACCGCTACAGGGACAGTAAAGAAAATGTTACTGAGGCGCCCCTGAGACACCACAGAAGCAATTTACGCCCACAGCAATGCTCTTGAGAACAGCTGCGGGCGGAGAGAAGGCACATAAACCCCCCATCCTACTCCTACAGAGATGAAGAGAGATCTGGTCTGTGAGGCGCCTCATATATACCCGCTACGCCCACTGCCCTTGGAATCAGCTGCGGGTGGAGCAAAGGCACACATAGACCCCGAAGCCCACTCCTACAGAGACTAAGGGAATGGCGAGACCGATGAGCAGCCAGGACCACCAGGCAAGCCCGCAGCACGCACATTCAGCAGTGCTCTTGGAATCAGCTGCGGGCAGAGCGCAGGCACACATAGACCCCGAAGCCCACCCCTACAGAGACAAAGAGAATCGCGAAACTGATGAGCAGCCACGACCACCAGGCGAGCCCGCTGGAGCACGAGTAGCTGCAGCTTGCAGAGACGTAGGCTGAGAGGGGTGGAGGGAGGGGAAGAGATAGAGGGAGGAGTTGATGGGGAAATGTGAGGAGTGCTGTGCGGTGGGAATGAGAAGGTGGGACCACCAGGCGAGCCCGCTGGAGCACGAGTAGCTGCAGCTTGCAGAGACGTAGGCTGAGAGGGGTGGAGGGAGGGGAAGAGATAGAGGGAGGAGTTGATGGGGAAATGTGAGGAGTGCTGTGCGGTGGGAATGAGAAGGTGGGACCACCAGGCGAGCCCGCTGGAGCACGAGTAGCTGCAGCTTGCAGAGACGTAGGCTGAGAGGGGGCAAGGGGGAAGCGGAATGGGTGAAGCGGAGAGACAGAGGAGTCGATGGGAAGTATGAGGAGTGACGTGCGGTGCAGCAACGAGCAGCCAGGACCACCAGGCAAGGCCGCTGGAGCACGAGTAGCTGCAGCTTGCAGACCATAGGCTGAGAGGGGGCAAGGGGGAAGCGGAATGGGTGAAGTGGAGAGACAGAGGAGTCGATGGGAAGTATGAGTGACGTGCGGTGCAGCAACGAGCAGCCAGGACCACCAGGCAAGGCTGCTGGAGCACGAGTAGCTGCAGCTTGCAGACACGTAGGGTAGAATGAGGGTGGAGGGGGGTGGGACGGGTGGAGAGGAAAGAGTCAAGTGATTGTGATGTGAGCTGGTTTATGAGAATTCTAAAAAACCAGCGAGAATTCTCAAAAACCAGCGAGAATTCTCAAAAACCAGCGAGAATTCTCAAAAACCAGCGAGAATTCTCAAAAACCAGCGAGAATTCTCAAAAACCAGCGAGAACTCTAAAAAACCAGCGAGAATTCTCAAAAACCAGCGAGAACTCTCAAAAACCAGCGAGAATTCTTAAACACCAGCGAGAATTCTCAAACACCAGCGAGAATTCTAAAAAACCAGCGAGAATTCTCAAAAACCAGCGAGAATTCTCAAAAACCAGCGAGAACTCTCAAAAACCAGCGAGAACTCTCAAAAACCAGCGAGAACTCTCAAAAACCAGCGAGAATTCTCAAAAACCAGCGAGAATTCTAAAAAACCAGCGAGAATTCTCAAAAACCAGCGAGAATTCTAAAAAACCAGCGAGAATTCTAAAAAACCAGCGAGAATTCTCAAAAACCAGCGAGAATTCTCAAATACCAGCAAGAATTCTCAAAAACCAGGGAGAATTCTCAAAAACCAGATCGTGATGTGTGGCGTAGGAACGATCACGCAAGCGCGCTCGAGCACGAGTAGATGCAGACACGTAGGCTGAGAGGGGTGGGTGGGTGGGTGGGTAAGGGGAACGGGAGCAGAAGAATGGGAAAGTCTGAAGAGTTGATACGGAATGTGGGTTAGAATGAGCAGGCGGGACCACCAAGCAAGGCCGCTCGAGGACGAACAGCTGCAGACACGTAGGTTGAGAGGGGTGGAGTTAAAGAAACGGGAGAGATGGAGGAGCTGATGGGAAAATGTGAGGGGAGTGCTGTGCGGTGTTTCAACGAGCATGAGTAGCTGCAGCAGGCACCTAGGCTGAAAGGGGTGGAGGGGAGAAAGCTGTATAACTGAAGGGGAAAGAGGGAGGGGTGTGATGGGGAATGTGGGGTAGCAACCGCATTCACACGAGGATGGAAGGACGGCGAGTGAGTGAGTGCAGGGAGGGAAGCGGGCATCTGATTGGAGCACCAGTTTTTTGTTTCGAGACGTTTCGGAATCGAATGTGAGAGATCTCAAATTCGACTGGAGGACAGTAAGTGCCAGTTACTCACTCCCAGTGGGAAGGTGAGAGAGTGCAGGGAGGGAATCGGGCATTTGATTGAAGCATGAGGTTTCAATTCGAGACGTCACAAAGATTAGTGTTGAGACGTTTCAGAAGAAAGTGTTGAGGCGTCTAAAAAACGAGTGGGGCGTGTGGGGAGAGCGGGGAGATGGGGGGGATACGGGCGACTTGGAGTTATTATTGCACCCTATTATCATCTGATTCTCGTTACACTCACCTGCACACCATATAGTATATCTTCCTTTGAATCACCACCTGCTGCACGCAATACGCGTCCTTTACGGGCTATACTTCGTGCGATATTCCGAGTTTTTGACGAGCTACGATCTATCGATACATTATATCCAGTCACACTCACCACCGGAGTTCCAAAAGGGCTGTAAGTAAGTGGCACATCCGTAGAGTGTTGCGTAAACTCCATACTCGCTATAATCTATTCATACATTATCCAGTCACACTCACCACCGGAGTTCCAAAAGGGCTGTAAGTAAGTGGCACATCCGTAGAGTGTTGCGTAAACTCCATACTCGCTATGATCTATTCATACATTATCCAGTCACACTCACCACCGGAGTTCCAAAAGGGCTGGAAGTAGGTGGCACATCCGTAGGGTGTCGCGTACGCGCAGTTCTGTGGGGGGAGGGGGGCGGAAGGAAAGGGGGGGAGCCGGAAGGGAGGCGGGGGGGAGGCGGAAGGGAGGCGGAAGGGAGGCGGGGGAGAGGCGGGGGGGAGGCAAAGGGATGGGGAGAGAGAGCGGTGTGGATAAGTGGAACATCCGTAAAGTGTCGCGTACGCGCACGTCTGTATGGGGGAGGGAGGGGGGAGAGGAGAGAAGGGGGAAGCGGCGGGGGCGAGGCGAAGAAAGGGGAATAGAGAGCACGAAAAAGCTACGTGGCACATCCCTAAAGGCGAGGGTACGCGCAGTTCTGTTGGGGAGGCGAGCGGGAGGTACGCAGTCCGAGTCGGAGTTAACGAGCCCGTGGTGCAACCGGAGGACGAGTTATGAGTCGGCTTTATAAAGTGGACAGAATGAGGAGGAAAGGGAGGAGGAAGATATGGGACGGAGTGAGCTTCTCACGTTGCACTGGACAACGCAGTCATTGTTCATGAGATTGGTGCCGGGAACGGTGCACACGGCCCCACATTGCGCCGCGGCGAAGCTGACGAGGCACGACGCGACAACCAGGAGCGCGAGGTACGTCGCGGTATGCGATTGTTGCTTCATAATGGCGTTGCGAAAGCAAAGAACGGACTAGTAATAAGGTGCGGAAGTTTGAGGAACACGGACGAGTTAGGGAGGGAGTAAGGATGGGTCGCGCTGAGTGATTAGCTTGAGAGTTAACTACGAGATACAGTTGGCTCCTGCAGTATGTTCTCAACGGTTCCGTGCCAGGGACAGCTAAATAAGACTCGTGATGGTGGGGCGGCTAGAATTGATGCTCTTGGATTTGAAGGCACGATGCGGCAATTTAGTCATGTGTTTGCCTATTGCTGTTTTTGGTAAGTTCAAATTTGTTCCAACCAGTCTAATTCCTATTTAGTCAGTCGGACGGCTATATTGACCGTTGTAGAACGCTGGAAATCTCATTTCGCCGCACAAAAAAGCCCTGGTTTAGAAACTTCACATGAGCCCAAATCCACAGTTGTCCTCGGCACTGCCAAATCTCCTCGAAACCTTTCAATCTCCCCCGCTGACACGTAGGAGCCGAGCCGCAAGCAGGGCAGTAGGGCTGGGACGTGGTTGGATGTTTCAGATTTGCGGGAAACGGTTACTGTACAGGTCCGTGTGGCGGTTCGGCTCTTGGCGGGAAAAGTCGTGTGCGGAAAGTGTTTCTTTCGAGGAATGACGAACCGCCGTGTTTGCGCGTTTTCGATTCCTTTCGGCAGTGGCTTTGACAGCGACTCCCTTTGCGCTCGCACCCAGTTCCCGCGGGCAGTTTTTATTGCAATTTCCCATTTTTCGTGACCAGACGTATAGAAGGGAAAATACGAAGTCTACCTGGTTGCAGTATAGAGGCCAGTGGCAAAACTAAAACCCACTGATGACAAGCAATTTGGGAGGCATCAGCCCTAAACACCTTGCCTCATAGTGTTTAGGGCTGATGCCCTCTACGTGGCATACCATCCATGAGGGTGCATTTTTTATGTCCCGAGCTGCGCGTTTGCTATGGGCGAATAAATTTGGAATATATGGTAGCATAAAAACAATATGTATTTATGGACTGAAAAGGGGAAATGGAGAAATAATATGCCCAAAGATTTTAGACGCGAGCGCGGAGCGATGTACTGTCAAAACCACTACCCATTGAAATTGGAAACTAGAAAACACGTCGCTCCATCATTTCCTCGTTTCTTTCGACCAAGTTGTTGTCATACATAGAAGCGACTAGTGATAATCGTGGGACTGAGTATGACAAAGATTTGCTGCAGCAAAATTGGAGAGGAGTGGGGAGGGAGGCGTGGCGGTTCTGGAGTTTGGTGCAATTTGAGAGAAGCTGCTCCCATGCACAATCCTATTCTATGCTGTAAAACTACTAAATTAACTGCATTCATTTTCTTTGAAGTGTGCTGGAAAGGATTCCTGACATTTTGAGATATGCTGCAAGTCAGTTACATAAGCTGATATTTATTTACGTGTTATGTTCAGCTTACGCATAGTTTTCAATCGCTAGATTGGATATAGCACAATGCTTAGTTTTGACAACCCTAAAGAAGACATTTGGATTGCTTAATGTGTGAAAGTGCTTAATAATCAGGGTCTCTTGAAGAATCTACAACAAAGTATTAGATTTTCATGCAAAATTGCACTGGAAGTGGGGCCTTTGTGTGGTAAAATAAGAAGGGTGGACGAGGAAACATTGTTTTGCGAAAGCCAAAGGCTGTCGATGCTGGGATTCGAGCCCAGGTCTCCACGGCCACAACGTGGGATTCTAACCACTAAACTACACCGACGTGGATGAGAAAAAATATTATAATTTATCGTTACAAACAACATTTGCTTCGCTGGTTATTGCAGCTGTCCTGGATGTTGTCGGTGATGCCATCACTGCATGGGATGTGCGAAATTTGAGGAGATTCTCTAGGTTCTCCGATTGGAGGGTGTAATCTCAAATTTCCCCCACTTCCCAGGAGGGAGCAGCAAAGCAAGGCTGCTGGAATTTTGTTGCTGCATATTTCGTTTTAGTAGTGAAAGTAACAGCGTTGATTTGGAGACACTAACCAGAACGGCTCTCTAGCAGCAGCGAGTCATTTCGCGATTCGCCGTGGCCGCACTGGCGGTTCCAGATCAATAACTGACGGTAGGCCTCTTTGCGACATTTGCCAGTGAGCGACGTTCGCGCAACTGTCGCTAGGACAATACCGTCGCGCATTCGTGCGACCTCATAAAGGAGCTTTGGTCTGACAAAGCCGGCGTCGCGCATTCGTCTACTCACCATATTACCCAGCTCGACTTTAGTGCTAGTTTCACAATGGCGGGTGTAAGCGATTTCGTGTACGGGACAATGCCGCCGCAATACCTGCTTTGCTGCGAGAAGTCGCCTATCTGCCTAACAGCCCATATAAGTTGGTAACTCAACCTGATCCATTCTCTGCCACGTGGCACTCTCTGCCTGCAACTCAAGGACAATCCTTTCCCATGCCACGTGGCATCCCGTCGCCAAGATGCCACCAATGGGGTGCGTTAGCAGCAGAGGCATGGAAGTCCCGGACCTCGATAGTAGTACCGAATACGACAGCAGCACCATCTCCCGAACCACGTCGCAGTCTTCCCGAGCCACCGCGCAGTCGCCGAGCCTCCAGGCTCGGCGGTCAGGACCAGCTCCGTCCAGAGGCTTGGGAGGAGCGATGGGACAGATGGCAGGATCGCAGCCAGTAAAGGTTCGTGGGGTGATTTGTATCAACGAATTACGAGTCTCCTTAATTTTATGTTACGTCTTATACTTGATTTGCGAGTTTCGCTGGTATGTGGCATGCTTTTTATCGTGTTTCGCCACGTCTGGTATAGTATGTTCCTGCTCTTGTTTCTATTCCAACCTTTCGGGCTGAGCAGCTGTGCAACATTGATTGAATTCGCGACCTTTTTGTGTGGTAACCCTAATTCGCCAGGACCTGTTGGACGTGTTCATTGACGAGGTAGAGAGTTCGCACAAGCGAAAGTCCAATAGCAAGACACACAGACACAAGGGGTCATCTGGAGAAGCTGGTGCAGCGGGGGATGTTGGGGCAGCGGGGGAGGCTGGGGAAACGGGGGAGAGTGGAGCAACAGCGGAAGTTGGAGCGGCAGGGAGGATTGGGGTAGAAAGAGCGTCTGAGGCCGCAGGAGTAAAGGCAGCAGATATTGGGGCGTTGAGAGGAGGGGAGGTGAAAGGAACAGCTATTGGGGCATCCCAGGGTGAGGTAGAGGGGCGAGCAACAGAAGGGCGGAAGGGAGGTGAGGAGGAAGATGGGATGGGGCCGCGAGAGAAAGGGCGGGGTTTGGAGTGCACATTAGATGAGCGCTCATCTAATAGTAAGGCGGCTGGACCAGATACAGAAGTAGCAACAGCAACAGCAGCGCCAGACTCAGCTCCTTTACCTACAGAGACATATGTTCTGAATAATCCGGCTTGCGAGCTTGCAAGGCACGCTGGCGCCACATCGGATGCCACGTCAGATCCTCATGCTGGGAGCTTAAGCACAAACGGTCCTCCTCCTCCTGTTCACAGCGACCCTGCTACAGCCTGCTCCGCGGATTCAGTGCATCTAGACAATCCCAAGGGCGCCTCGGGGAAGGCTGACAATCCCAAGGCTGGTTCAGGGGAGGTGAAAAATCCCGGAGCTGCACAACAGGATACAGGGGAACCAGCAGGCTTAGGTTCGGGATGTACAGACCAGGCAGGTAGCTTCGGTGGTGTGGTTCGGGCCAGCCCTGGCGAGGCTGAAGCAGGGGCGGGTTTTGAGGGAGAGGTTGGGAGAGTAGGTTCGGGGAGAGACGGACCTGTCGTCCGAACCTGGGAGGTTGACCCGGAGCGCCGAGCCAAGAGCTGGAGAAGAGACGTGGAGGCCGAGTTCTCTAGGGGTGAAAAGAAGAGAAGAGGCTCGAAGGCGCAGGTAGTAACAGCTCCGGAAGCAGCAGGTGTGGGCGATGGGGATGGTGTAAGCAGAGGACCAACGGTTGTGATTGACTCTGGAGCGGAGGCAGCTAATAAGGAGCGTCAGATGGAGCAGCCCGTACGTGCTATTGGTAATGCAGGTACAGGGGAGGGCGGAGGGGGCGATAGAAAGGAGGGCGGGGGCACGTATGTGAATTTAGACGCGCCTCTGATTTCGTCTGGTGAGGGGGAGGGTGGTGGTGGCACGTACCTGTTTGCAATGAAGCTGCGACGAGTGAGGAGCTCGGGAGATGTCACGAAAGGGGATGTCTCTAAAGGGGATGTTGTTTCTAACGGGGATGCTACTGACGCGGATGTTGTCAGCAGCGGCGCTGCACCTGCGAGTGCTGGGGTGAAGGCCAGGCAGGAGGGGAAGGGGAGCCTGTTGGGTGTGCTGGAGCATGAGTGCATGGGGGAGGGGGAGGGAAGGAGTAAGGAGGATGAGGAAAGAAGCAAGGAGGGTCAGGAGGGGAGGAATGAGGAGGCGGAGGGCCAGGCTAGCCCCAGCAGCAGTAGGCCGGTGCAAGGCATGCAGAGAGACAGTGGCTTGGTGATGCGGGGAAATGGTGCTGTGGTGCAGAGGAAGCGAGCACTGACGGGTGAGGAGAACGCACAAGGAGGAGATGAGAGGGAGGGAGGGCAGGGAAGCCGAGGGCAAAGGGAGGCCGAGGAGAATGGTGGTGGCGGGGGTGGTGATGATGATCTGATGCTTACTGGCAGCTTCTCCTGCTTCGCCAGGAGTCCCAGGCCCAGCCAGCCTGATGCAAAATTCAGTGCAGGGTGGGGTGGGAATGCCTTTGCCTCTGCTGGCGCTGCTGCCGCTGCTGCTGGCGCTGGCGCTGGCGCTGCTGCTAGTTCCCGAGCAAGGTCATCAACCAAGCATCCCCGCAAGTCGATATCCTCTTCAAAGCCATCCTCGTTAAGAGTGCCTTCTCCGAAACCTCCATCTCTCGAACCACGGTCTCCTAAAGCAAGTCTGTTAACGTCCTTCTCGTTGGAAGCCCACTCACCTAAGGTACTGTCGTCTCGAGCCCCTCCCACACTCTCCCTCCCCCCAGCCTCCCCCAGGTCCCCCTCCCTCCCTCCCCCATCCCCCTCAGGTGTCTCCGCCAACCTTCCCCCAGCCTCCCCCAGGTCACCCTCCCTCCAACGCCCTCTAGCCTCCTCGCCCCGGGCTTCATCAGCCAAAAGGGGCGTGTCCATAGTCCTTCCCACAGCCCCTGTCCCAACCTCCCCCAATCCTACCTCCCCCAAGCCTCCCTCCTCCACGCTTCTTTCCCCCAGGCCTGCCTCCCCCAAGCCTGCCTCCCCCAAGCCTGCCTCCCCCAAGCCTGCCTCCTCCAAGCCTGCCTCCCCGAAGCCCACCTCCCCCAAGCTCTCCTCCCCCAAGCCCGCCTTTGCCGAGCCTACATCCCCTAAGCCTGCTGCCAATGCTGCCTCCTCTGCTCCTGCTTCTCCTGCTGCTGCCACCTGTGCAACCACCGCTGCTGTCACTGCTGCTGCCGCTGCTGGTTTGGAGCAGCAAGAAGCAGACGAAGACGCCCTTCTCCTCTCTCTTGAAGTACCTCAAAACTCGCCTGCTGCCCCTGCTGCCTCCTCTGCTGCTGCTGCCTCTGCTGCTGCCTCTGCTGCTGCCTCCTCTGCTGCTGCTGCCTCTGCTGCTGCCTCTGCTGCTGCCTCCTCTGCTGCTGCTGCCTCTGCTGCAGCCACTGATGATTCTCAGCAGCAAGAAGCGGACGAGGATGCTCTTCTCCTCTCTCTTGAAGCACCTCAAAACCCACCTGCTGATCCTGCTGCCTTTTCTGCTGCTGCTGCCTCCTCTGCTGCTGCTGCCTCTGCTGCAGCCACTGGTGGTTCTCAGCAGCAAGAAGCAGACGAGGACGCTCTTCTCTTGTCTCGACTCGGATCCCCTCGCATCGTGCTCCCCAATCGCATACAGTCACACTCGTTCAAGTGCATAAGCAGCAGCAACAAAGCCATCCAATTAATGGCACGATCGCGCAGCGATCCTGACGCTCCATCGGCATCTCTGCTTGATCCAATGGCTGACGTCGTCCTTCCTCCCCACTTCCCCACCCTTCCCCATCTTTTCACCCCTCCTCGCCTCGCCACTCCCCCTCGTCCACGCTCTCGGGGAGGCTACAGTAAACTGCAGGTAGATCTAGCAATCATCACGACTGTATCGGATTTTATCGGATTTGATTTGTTTGGGGATGGGGAGGAGGAGAAGGGGGGAGGTGCGTCTGGAGAAGGTGAGTCTGGGGCAGGTGGGATGGACCCGTGGGGTATGGTTGCTGCTGTGGGTGGGTCGCTCTGGCCTATGAGTGACTGTACAGAGGGAGAAGAAGCGGCACAAACTGGTAAGGTGCAATTGAATTCCGCAGAGGTGCTTGTGGTTGATTCTACAGAGGGTGACTGTATGGAGGGAGAAGAGGCAACTCAGGAGGTGCTAGATGATGCAGCAGGTGTGCAAGAGATGAGTGGGGAGGATGTGACTAAAAAGGATGTGAATGGGGAGGATGTGATTGGAGAGAATGTGGCTGTAACGGCAGCTGAAGGGGTGATCGAAAGCAGAGGGCAGGCAGATGGGACTGTAGAGGATGTGAGTGTTGCTGAGGATGTGTCTGGTGGCGATGTGACTGTAAAGGGGGTGATCAGCGAGAAGGTGCATATAAGGGAGGTGATTGTAGCAGCCTCGGCATTGTGGAGGGACGTGATTGAGCACCGGGAGGATGTTGATATGGCTGTAGAGGGGGCTCTGGTGGATAGGGTTACCACACGGAGTGATGAGGGAGAGAAGGGAAGAGGCATGGAGGAGGCGGAGAGCAGAGTGAAACGAATAGGTGCGGGTGCTGATATGGCTGCTGATGTGGCTGCTGATGTGGCTGCTGATGTGGCTGCTGATATGGATGATGTGGATACTACAGACGATAAGGTGCCGAGCTGGCAGCAGGTGTGCAAGCAGGGGGAGGTGATTGTAACGAAGGCCAAGCTTCTTATGAGTCTCTTAGAAAGGCTTGAGTGTGAGGTTGCAGAATGTGATGTGCTGAGACTGTCAGTGACAGATGTAACCCTGGGGGGGACAGATGTAACCCAAGCAGGGACAGGTGGAACTGTTCCAGAGACAGGTGTAACCCTGGCACTGGAGAATCTGGTGGTTCTGGCAGAGCAGCATCTGTTGCTGCTGAGTCAGCAGCATACAGTGGGAGGACGAATAGGGGAGGAGGGTGTGACTGTGAGCGATGTGACTATAGGCGGTGTGACAGCACGCAGCGTAACTGTAGGCGGTGTGACAGGCGGTCTGGTTGTAGGTGGTGTGACTGTAGGCGGTGTGATTGCAGAAGGGCCAACAGAAAGTGCAAGAAGGTTGGAAAATCTGCTGTTTCTGGTGGCAGGCGTTTTGAGAGTTATGGAGGCGAGGAGGAGGGTGAGAGATGTGGAGAGAGAGGGAAGTGTGAGGGAACAGGGAAAGGTGGAGGAGGGAGTGAGTGTTGGAAACGAAGAGGACGAGGAGGAGGAGGATGAGGACAAGGAAGAGGAGGAAGAGGATGAGAAGGAAGGAGGATGGGTAGAAGGCGAAGAGGAGGACCTGGAAGGAGAGGACGAAGAGGAGGGGGAGGAGGAGAGGCAGAGCCAGGCAGAATTGTGGGATCGAAGTGGGAAGCTGCTAGAAGCTGCCTCAGAGCATGCAGCGCTGCTGGTGGATCGCTGCCTCTCTCTTGCAAACCAGCAGGCAGAGAGTGCGGGCCTAGAGACACAGGGAGGAGGCAGGGAGAAGGGTTTCCAAGAACCACTTGCCCAGAGGGCGAACAGAGGGCAGCTGGGGGTGAATAGAGGACAGCAGCAGGGGATGACGTCTCTGTTCTGCCTGATAGAAAGTGCTGAGCTTCTCTGTGGCTGTGTCCCGCCCGCTGCTGCTCCTGATGCTACTTCTGAAGCCTATACAATGCCTGACACTGCTCATCCTTCAGCAGTTGTGCCGTCGTCATCGGCGGTGGCGGCGGCAGCGGCATTTAGGGACCGGGCTGCTGCACATGGGGTGAAGATATGTGCTGCAGGAGCAGCAGCAGCGGCAAAGAATGCAGGAGCGGCAAAGAATGCAGGAGCGGCAAAGAATGCAGGAGCAGCAGCAGCGGCGGCAACAGCAACAGCAGCAGCTGCGGATGTTGCTAGAGACGGAATGGTGCTTGTTGCAGCAGCGGCAGAAACAATCGGAGGGCTGCTGAAGCCACGTTTGAGGCAGAAGCAGCAGGAGGAGGAGGAAGACCAGGAGCAGCCGCACGAGCAGAAACAGCAGGAGCAGGAGAAGCAGCAGGGAGAGCAGGAGCAACAGGATCAGAAGCAGCAGCAGCAGGAGAAAGAGAAGCCACTGCTTCCTGCTCCGAAGCACTGGGTGTCTCACCTGCTGCTCTCGGGATGGCTGCTGCTGCAGCGCCATACTGCTGCTGCTGTAGAGGCTGCAGCAGTTGTCAAGAGCTGGGGCATTGATTGTTTTAGGGAAGAGACGCTGTTGTCGTCGACAGCAGGTTCGGCTGTTGTCACTACCCTCCAGCTCCGGCTTTCTTTTCTTCGCACCCTGGTGGAAGCTTACAGGAAGCTTCTGCACGCAATTGCAGGGTTCTGGGGCTGGCAAGAGGGGAAGGGGAGCACGGGAGAGGAGGGGACGCGAGAAGAGGGGATCAGGGAAGAGGAAACGCACAAAGGATTGAGCATAAGTAGATCTGACTGGTTAGAGGGGAGTGTGAGTGTGACAGAGTGTGAGGTGGTGTGTGACAAGCTGCTCAGAACAATAAATGCAATGCAGTTGTGGTTCGAGCTGTCTCAACAAAAAGACTGCACTGCTGTGAAGGCGCAGAAGACTTGTGGGCTGGCTGAAACGAAGGCTCGTCACACACCTTCTCACACAGAAGATATGCTCGTTTCCCTGGGATTCTCAGGGCTGGTGGCAGTGGCAGGCGTGGTGAGAGCGATAGAGGCTGCGGCAAACGTTGAGGAGGTGACTTGTGAGGCGGCGCCTGTCATGGGGAAGCGGCGAGAGAATTCAGGGGTGAAGGGAAGGAGAGAAAGAATTTTGATGAAGGGAAAGAGGGAAAGGTCAGGGGGTGTGGGAGCAGCAGGAGGGAAGGAGGGTAGAGGAGACAGGGAGGGTTCAATGAAGGGGGAGGAGGCAGGGCGTGTGGTTGCTGGGGCGCCTGTGACAGAAACGAGTGTGCTTGTACGGGGGGCTGCAAGTTTCTTGGATGAAGTGAGAGATGGGGTGGGCAGGTTGATTAAAGGAGTTGATTATAACAGAGGTACCACACCTGACGATCTGCGGCGGGAGGGAATAAAATCCGCAGATAATAGAATCTGCGGAAATTTTGTCGTCAGCCAGAGTGACGCCGCCCAGATTGCGCTGAGTCTTGTGGCGGCTTCTGTCCGGCATTTTTGTCTTGTAGCAGAGGAGGGCGGTTGCAGGGAGGGCGGCAGCGGTTTGGGCAGGGAGATGGGTGGTGTGCGGTGGGGTGGGAAGCTTCTGAGAAAGGCAGGGAGGAGCTGTGCTGCTGTGATTCGTGCTGCTGCCATGCTTGCAGGTAGGGTGATTGGGGAAGAGTTTGGAGCGGAGGAGACAAGGGGAGAGGGAAGAGAGGGAGGAGGAGAAGGGAGAAGGGAGGGGGGTGAGGAGGAGCAAGAGGACGGGGTGCGAGCAGCAGCAGATTCGCTACTGCATGCCGCAGAGAGGCACTTAAGACTGATGAAGGGCGTTGAGAGAAGGCAAGGGGAGCTGCAGCTCCTGCAGCAGCAACAGGGGCGGGAGATGCAGGAGAAGCAGGTGCAGCAACAGGATCAGTCGGTGCCAGAGGGGGTCTTGATTATCGACGAAAGCAAGGAGGGAGGCAGGGAAGTGAAAGGGGGAAGCAGGGAAGGTGGTCTCTTGGGTGAACTGGCAGGTGGTCACATTGACAAGAGACATGTGAGACGTGAGCAACGGGCTGCTGCTGCTGCTGCTGCTGCTGTTGCGGGTCTGGCTCTGCATTTGGCTCACAACACTGAGATGCTGGTGCTACCTTGGTACTTGCCTCCTGATGGGCGTGCGATTCTGCTGAGAGGAGGGATGGGCAGGGGGAGGGCAAGGCGGGGGTTCTTGCTCAGCAAAATTCTTTTCCGGGCAGCTCAGCTGGGCCAGGTGTTTCTGTCGCATTGGACAGCCAGAGTACCTGATTTTGCGGCGGAAAGTGAACCTGAGGAAGGGAGGGAGTGTGAGGGTTCGGGGCACAAAACACAGGCTGTAAGGGACGGAGCTGTGGTGCAAGGCCACGGAGCGGCGGACCCAAGGTTCACTGCTAGCCTGCCTGCTGCTGCTGAGATTACCGCTGATGGTGGTCTTGCTGCGCGCTTTGCTGCTGGCTTTGTGTGGCTGGTGCGGTGGTCAGGAGGGATGGCTGCACTCGCAGAGGAGCTGGAGAAGCAGCAGCAGTACCAGACAGAGGGTGGAAGCGCAGGTGGTTGGGAAGAGAGGGGAGAAGGGGATGGGGGGGTGAAGGGGCTACTAGTGCAGGCGGCAGCAGCTAGGGAATTGGCACGCGACCTGCTGATTCAGGCTGAATTGCAGCAGTCCCAAGAAACGACTGATGAGGTTGGGGTTACCACCGGTGTCCATGCTCTTTCGGAGAGGAGTGGGGTTTATCATACTGAGGATAGGCACAAGGATGAGGTGGACAGTGCAGCGTGGCAGTCTGCCACTGGTGTGCTGAGTCAGCGCACTGCTTTGGCTGAGCTGGCGGGTGCGCATGCTGAGTCATGTGTCAGATTCGCTGAGTCAGCAGCAGCTGGGTCGCCTGGTGACGCCTGGCAAGACCTGCTGCTGCAGGCGGAAGGGTTGGTGGTGGAAGCTTCCAAGCAGCTTCGGATGCTGTTGCAGGCAAAGAAGCAACGAAGCAGCAGCAGGAGGCAGCAGAAGGGATGGCAGGGCGGGTATCCAACAGAAAACAGCTGCGAATATTATGGCAGGGGTGGTTTAGATTTTGTAAATTATGGCGGTATGGACTGTTCAAATCATGGGGCTGAAGCAGCATGTGAGGATGACTCCTTGTTGCTGGCAGCACTGGTTGAGGAGGCTCAGTCCCATCGCTCGCTGCTGCTCCAAGCAACGCAAGACAGACCAACGGAGATATGCGCAGCTAAGGCTGAAAGCAGGGTTCATGGCTCAGGGGAGGCTGTGTCTGGGGGAGGTGCATGTGACTCTGTACCAGAGTCACGAGCAGGGGTGCTGGTGTGCAGAGAGGAAAGGTCTTCTATCCGTCGCTCTGCTCTGCTTCTGCGTCACCGTGCCTCATCTCTCCTCCACCGCCTCTCCATCCCATTTCCACCTCCACCTGCTGCTGCTGCTGTGATCCCTGGGCTTTCCCCATCGTCACCATCGTCCAACAGGCCTCTCTCTTCCTCCCCCACCACCAGTCACTTGGTCGTGTCAGCAGCAGCTACTGCAGCCAGGCTTGTGACCTCCTCTTCCCTCCTTGCTTCTCTCCTGCAAGCGCTTCTGCTTCTCTCCCCTGATGATCCCAGACCTGCTCCTGATGCATCACCAGCTTCTGCAGCCCTGCCTGCTGCTTTGCTGAGTCAGCAACATGCCACCGTCCACTCACTCGCCCTTGCCCTTGCTGATGTGGCAGCTGACCTGGACACGCAGCTAGCCAGGCTGGCAGACGCATGCCTCCGCCATGCTGCCTGCACTGATCCTGCCGGTGCTGACGTGGCACTTGCGTATTGGCTGCTGGACGCAGGGCAAGAGCTGGTGACTCACTCCCATTGGCTCATACAAGGAACAGGTAAAGGGAAGTCAGGCGTTACAAGTGTTACCGATGTTACAAGTGTTACAGGAGCAGAAGCAGCAGCAGGACCAGCAGCAGCAGTGAACAGCGTGGGTTGTATCGCTGCTTTGTCTCTCAGGCTGCTGAAAGTTCTCTTCTCCTTCTTTTGTGGCATGCACCAGCCCTCCACCAATGCTGCATCCCCCATTTCTTCCTTTTCAGACCGCCCTGCTCCAGTCGTACCCACCCTGCCTCTACTGCCCGCCTCGCTGACCTCTCGCCTGCAGCAGCTAGAAGCTGCTATGGGCCTGCTAGTCCCTGCACAGGCACACGCGCACGGGAGGGCTTCTGAACCGCAGCATCACAACCCACTGTCCCCCCCACAGCAAGGGCTCTCTGTGCGGAGCAAACAGGGCAGTGGCAGCAGTGGCAGTGCCGTGACAGCAGCACGCACTCTCTGTGTGTCGTGGCTTAGCCTGTGCTCTGAGGCCCTCTCTCTCATGGCCGATATCCGCACTCGGCTGAGTCAGCTCTATGTGCTTTCCCATTCCCATGACAGGGGGCTTGCACATGCCCACTCTGCCACTGATGCAGCAGCCGCGCCTATCCCCTTGCTGAGACCCTTTAAACCCCATCTGCCTATAGCAGCAGCAGCAGCTGTTCCTGTGGTGTCTGCGCTGCTGCTGCGCTGCCTCTTGAGGCTGGGGGGTGCTGTGGCGGAGGTGTGGGGGGAGACTGGTGGGGGAAAGAAGGGGAATTGGGGGAGCCGGGGGAAGAGTAGGGGCGGAAGGGACGGCAGAGGGAGTGAAGGAAGCGGCAAGGGTGGTGACGGGTTGGGATTGGAAGGGGAGGAGGAGCTTTGCTGTGGATGGGTGTACGCTTGGGATAGTGACGGTTCTGCTGCTGCTACTGGCGATGCTGGTTCCCACACCCCTGTCCCCCCTCTTGCCTCTGCAGCAGCATCAGCAGCAGCAGAGGTCACCCTCCTGTCCTTGCTCCATCACAACATGCCCTTCCCACTACCATCCCCATTATCCGACCACAAAAGTTCGGGACAAGGTAGAAAACGGGAGGAAAGGGGCGAGCTAGTGGATAGTCATGGAGGGGAGAGAGGAGGAGGGGAGCAGACAGAAGGAGGAAAAGAGGGAGAACAAGTCAAGGAGCCGTTTCTGGATGGGGGAATTTCTCGGCCTGTTCTCTTTGGCGATCTCTGTGCTTCCATTTGTTCCAATGCTGCTGCCGCGTTGACAGGAAATGCCACAGATCTTGCAGATGTGGCTGGTAGTAACCCTGAGAATGCTTCTGCTACAGCTGGTGCTACAGCTCTTGCTACAGCCTCTAGCTTGGCCGGGCAAGCCTCTGCACTGCTCTCCGTGCTACAGTCGCTGGTCTCGGATGCTGCTGCTACAGCCATTCCTGCTGCTATAGGCTCTGCTGCTACAGCTGTCGCTGCTACTACTGGTGCTGCTCCTGCTGGTGCGGTTTCATCTGATGCTGTGAGGGCAGCTGATGCGTCGGCTATATCTGCTGCTACAGCTGGCAGTGCAGGGTCGTCAGCCCAGCTTCTTCCTGCAGTGGCGATGGCGGGAGCAGCAGCCGTGGTGGCTCACACTATGGTGCATGCGCTTTCTCTGGAGATCACTCTTTCCCTAGGCGTGCAATCCGCTGGTGAGTGCGAAGCGAGTGCATGAGTGGGTGAGTGATGAGCATGTAACAGTGGCAGCTCTTTTCCTTGCCCTGCAATCCGCTGGTGAGAGGGAAAGCGTGTGGTGTGGGTATGCATTTGTGCGTATGAATGCGAGTGAAGGCATACAATGCAAGCATGTTGAGACTCTCACAGCTTCTCCCGGCAGTGACGACGGCGCGAGCAGCAGCAGTGGTGGCTCACGCTGTCCTGCATGCTCCGCAGCTTGCTCTTTCTCTTGGCACTTGGCCTGCAATCCGAGGGTGATTGAGATGTGTGAGAGTGTGAGCGGCTGACTGTGTGGGTGTGGGATTGGGTGAATGAGTGAGCATGTTACAGGAGCAGCACTTAGGCAGCGGTGGCTCACACTGTAGTGCGTGCAATCGCTCTGGTTGTGGCATGCCGGTGGGAGGGGGTGAGTGAGTGTGTGTATGTGAGTGTGTACACTTTTTTTACCGGAACATTCAATTAACAACTGTCCGCTTCTCTAACACTCCTCCCTTGATTGTTGCTGCTCCCATCAGGCACACAGGAGCGACTCACCTCGTTAGTGCAGGGAGCCACTCGCCTCTCACACTTACTCAAGAGCCACTTAGCTGTGCTGCAGCAAGCTGCCAACCAGGGCTGTGGAGCTCCTAGGTTCTTCCTCGCGATGACAGATGGCGCGACGCTATTCGCCCGTAAGCTACAGGGCCATATAGCTGAGTTACAAGTGGCCGAGGCTGCTTGTATGGGGGATAAGGCGAGGGGGAGAGGGGGAGACGGAAAGGGGGGATGGAGCGGGAAATGGAGCGGAAAATTTGGGGCAGTTACAGCAGAGGAGGATCTCGCTCGGGCAGCTGGAGGAGCGTTCCGATTGGCTTCTGAGGCTGCCCGGCACGCCGGGCGGCTAGAATTGGAAGCTTCTTGGGAAGCACTGGGAATGGATGGCAGCAGCAAGGGGGGGGTGATTGGCAGTAGGGGCCCTCCCAAAGCCAGGCATCTGCTCTTTGAGAGACATGCAGCAATGAAGCCTTTGGCTCATGCCAAGAAGGTAGAGGCAGAGTGGATGTGGGGTGGGGGCGATGAGGATGAGGAGGAAGGGGATGAGGAGGAAGAGAAAGAGGTGGAGGAGGAGGGAGAGGGTAGGCGCAGCGAGAATGTGGAGGGTAGAGGAATTGGAAAAGGGGAAACTGGAAGGTTCAGTGGCAGAAGGATCGGCAGCAGGTTCGCGGGGAGCAAGTTTGGGGGAACCAGGAGAGTGAACGTGGAGTTGCTTATAGAGAGTGTGAATATAGCCGCAGAGCTGGCATACCACAGCCATAGAGTGCTGACCAAATGCGTGGAGGGTGTGGGTTCCGGCTGGGTTGGGGAGGTCACAGAAGCTGCTCTTTCCGCACAGATTATTGACGCAACTGGAGGCTTTGCGTCTGATTTGAATATGAGAGGAGGTGCTGGTGTGGTGAGGGTCTCTGCTACCAGTGGGGTGAGAGCATATGGGGATGTGGATATGAGTGCACCCATCCCTGTTCTCTCCGTGTTTGCAGTCAAGCTGCAGACACCTGCTGCTGCTGCTGCTGTGGGAGAGTCAGCAGCGTCGGCAGGAGGGGTACGGGGCGCAGGAGAGGGGGATGGTAAGGTGCTGCAAGGAAGTGAGCCCACAGCACATGAGGGGACTGCTGCTGTCGAGACTACTGTCAGAGCCACCACCACTGCACCTGCTGCTGCTGCACCTGCTGCTGCTGCACCTGCTGCTGCTGCACCTGCTGCTGCTGCACCTGCTGCTGCTGCACCTGCTGCTGCTGCACCTGCTGCTGCTGCACCTGCTGCTGCTGCACCTGCTGCTGCTGCACCTGCTGCTGCTGCACCTGCTGCTGCTGCACCTGCTGCTGCTGCACCTGCTGCTGCTGCACCTGCTGCTGCTGCATCTGCTGTTGCTGCACCTGCTGCTGCTGCACCTGCTGCTGCTGCACCTGCTGCTGCTGCACCTGCTGCTGCTGCACCTGCTGCTGCTGCACCTGCTGCTGCTGCACCTGCTGCTGCTGCACCTGCTGCTGCTGCACCTGCTGCTGCTGTGGCTGCGGCCTCTGATCGCTCTGCCTCTGTGGGTGCTGCTATTGACTCGACTCAAAACACACCCGGAAAACGCTCTGCAGCAGACGAAGCTTCTGTCGCCACCCCATCCCCCCTCCTCTCCTCCTCATCTCCGTACCTTCCTCCGAGCTCCAGCTGTCACTCCGCCATTCGTCCGACGCCCCATGCTGACGTCATCCTCCCCATCCCTCTCTTCCTCTCGTCTTCTGAGGAGGATCGGAGCAGCTTCGGCACGGACCCAACCCTGGAGCATGTTTGGTGTAGCCCCAGCCTAGGGCCGAGCCACGATCAGCCTCGGATCAGCTCCGGACTTGACTTGGCTCGGGAGCAGGCTCGAAGCAGCCTTGAAAGTGGGGGCAGTGGGAACGAGAGGGGTGGGAGGGAGGGGAGGAAAGGAAGGGAGAAGGAGAAGGGGAGGGAGAGGAGGCGGATGGAGTTAGTGACAGGAGGAGGTAGGGCGGATACTGGTACGGCATCTTTTGCATCAGCTGTATCAGCAGCATCAGCAGTTTCAGCAGTTTCAGCAGCATCAGCAGCAGCAGGAGCAGGAGCATCGTCTATTGAAGGTTCGGATGGTGGATCCAGGTTGAGAAGGGTGCAATCCGGTGGGAGTCAAGGCAAGGAGAGCATTGGCAGCAGGAAGGGGGGTGGGGAGGAGGGAGCGGGAGAAGGAGGGGTGTCAGCAGGGGGGAAGGGAGAAGGAGGAGGAGAAGCAAAGGCAGGAGAGAAGCTGGTTCGTGGTGGTTCGGGAGCTGGAGGTTCGGTAGGAGGCTCCCCAGCCGGAGGTCCGGTAGGAAGAGGCTCGGGAGCAGGCTCAGGAGCAGGAGGTGGGAGTGACACGGGCAGCTTGAAACTTAGCCTTGGTTCCCTCCTGGGATCACAGGGTTCGGGCAGCTTGAATGAAGCAATAAATCTTTTTTTGGAGGAACTGGAGGTTGGAGAGGGGCGAGGGGGGCGAGAGAAGAAGGGGAGGAAGGTGAGAAGGAAAGGTGGGGAGGGTAGCATGGAAAAAGGGGGGATGGAGATGGGTGGTGGGGATGCAGATATGCCTGCAGAGACAGATGCAGAGTCAGAAACAGGAATTGAGACTGAGATTGAGAGTGATGCTTGGAGTGTGTCTATTGGGGGTTGGGGCTCGTCTGTTGGAATTGGGGTGGAGGGAGAGGAGGAGATGAGGGGGGAGTTTGAGGGGAGGAAACGGGGGGTTGGGGAGAGGAGTGGGCAGAGAGAGGGGAAGGGGGAGAAGGAGGAGAGTGGGAGAGAGGGTGGTTTGGGTGGGGGGGTGGAGGGAGGGACGGGTGGGGAGGGTGTGGAGGAGGAAGATGAAGACGAGGAGTGGTATCAAGAACTGCTGAAGAACATGCGCGATGTGGACTTGGGGTTTGGGAAAGAGGTTATAGCATCTGAACAAGAAGAAGGGGCATGTGAGAGGGAAGAGACAACCACTGAGGAAGGAGTGAGGTCCTTTGGGCTTAGTCGAAGTTTAGTAAGGGGTCTTCTGGAGGAGGAAGGAGGGGAAACGGAGGAGAGCGGGAAACGGCAAGGGGCAAATGAGGTTCCTATCTCTGCAGAGGCAGCAGGAGGGAGAGAGGAGGCGCAGAGGGGGGAGTGTGGGAAAGGAGAGCCTAGCCCTTGCAGCACTGACAGCGACGCTGGCACCATAGCTTCGGAGGCGACCGACGCTGTGCCAGACCTGCCGTTCAGGCTCGGAAAGCGGTTCTACAACATTGATTCGATGCTGAACATGCGCGAACCTGCAGTTGCCTCGGGGGCTGGTGGGGTTGGGGCTGGTGGGAAGCTGTTTTCAGGGTACTTGGATAGGAAGGGACGTGGGAGGACCCTCATTGATGGTGCTGTGGTGGGGGCGTCAGTTGGGGCAGCCGGGGCAGTGGGGGCAGTGGGGGCAGTGGGCGTGGGGGAGAAGGTTTCAGGGAGAAGAAAAGGGGAAGGAGAAGGGAGTGGGGGTGACAGGAGTGATGGTGGCGAGACGAGCGAAGTGACTTCAGCAGAGGGAGGAGTAGGAGGAGGTGGGGGAGGCGAAGGGGAAGGGAGTGCGTCACAGAGTTCTGATGTTGCGGTTGCTGCAAATGCTGATAATGATGCTGATGATGGTGGTGATGCTGCTGATGCTGGTGCTGATGTTTCTGCCGCTGCTGCTGGTGCTGATACTGATGCTTCTGCTGCTGCTGCTAATGCTAATGCTGGTGCTTTTGCTGTTGATGCTGATGCTGCTGCTGATGCCCCTTCTGCTGCTGCTGATGCCGATGCTGCATCTGCTTGCACTGTGGTTGGTAATGCTGCTACAGCTGATGGATGCTTGTCTGGGGTGCATGTGGAGGGATGCGATAGACAGTCAGCACCGGCAGAAGAAGCAGCAGCCATAGAAAGTGCAGCAGCAGCAGCAGAAGAAGAAGAAGCAGCAGCCTTAGAAAGTGCAGCAGCAGCAGTGGAACGTTCGCCAGCACCCACACAAACAGCAGCAGAAGATTTGAAGGGACTTGTGGCAGATGCAACAACAGAAGATTCAAGAGCAGAGGATACACCAACAGCAGCTGCAGCAGCAGCAGATAGTGACAGCAACGATGATGACAGTAATGGCGAGAGTGACAATAACGAGGGCGAGGGTGACAATAACGAGGCGGAGGGTGGCAATAACGAGGAGGAGGATGACAATAACGAGGGCGAGGTTGACAAGAATGAGGGTGACAAGAATGAGGGTGACTATCAAGGTGAGGTGAACCGAAACGATGGTGCCAATAGCGAGCGTGACAGTGAGAAGGACGGCAGTGTCGAGGGTGACAATAATGAAGGCGAGAGTACAACAATTGGTTCGGAGCATCCGGACCTTCTGCAGTTTGACGAGGTTTTCCGAGCCAAGCAGGCTCGGCGACAGTGCCATGCCGAAGCTAAGGTCGCCGTGGCTGCAGCTTTGGATGCCCAGGATGACCTGGCAGACGCCGAAGCTGCACTGGAGGAAGCTTCCAAGGAAGTTGCACGGCTCACGGCACGTACTGACACAGAGAATAAAGACTCAAGCTTGGAGGTGCTTGTAAAAGGGAGAGGGGTTGCTGGTAACCAGGTGACATTTGAGGTGACTCAGAAGACGCCATGTTCTGACAATGATAATAATGTCACAAGTCTGGAGGGGCTTGTAAAGGGGGAAGGGGGCCCTGGTAACCAGGCAGGGGTTGTGGTTACGGTTGATGGGGGAAATGAGGGCAGCAGCAAGGGAAGCAAGACAGCCGAAGGCGAAGGAGAGGGGAATGGAGAGGAAGGGGAGGGGGAGGAGGGAGTGACTGAGGTGGGAGAGGGAACTGCTGAAGGAGAGGAGGTGGGGGGGAGAAGTGCAGTGACAGCTGAAGTGGACGGTGCAGGTGATGCATCTCTTTCTTCTGCCCGTTCTTCTGCCCTAGCTGCCCTGGAACAAGCTCAGCTTGCCCGCAATGAAGCTGCTGCCCGGATGCGCGCCCAGCGGCGTCGGGCAGCTGCAAAAGTTTCAGAGCTGGAAGCTGCCCGGTCCCTCTACACCACAGTGCTTCGGGCAAAAGAAGAGCGGGTGGCTGAAATAAATAGCGCTGCTTATGGGCTGATTGGGGAGATGAAGGCAGCAACTGGATGTGTAACACCTGGTGTGGTAACCCCACGAGGGGGCTCTGCTGCTAGTAGTGAGTTGCTTGATGTGCAACACTGCACAGATGGTGTAGGTGGTGACTATAATGACGAGGGCTAGTAAAGGGGAGCAAGTGCGCACCGGGTTTTGGAAAATTTCTATGGCTTGACGAAAACACTTCGCATGTGCGAAAATAATAATACGGTGTCATAATCCGCAAGATGAGAAGCAGGTTGGCGAAACGCTGAATCCTCAAACCACACTTCAAGTTTCAAACATTAGTTTTTTGTGCATGCCATGTCGGCTCTTCAAATGATGCTTCTCAAATTATTAAAGAGATTGACAACAAGTCTTGATTATTACCCAATCCATTATATTTGAGAAGTCCCAAATGTCCTAATACGACGTCTTACGGTAATCTAAACCAGCACTGCTACAGATCCCAGCACCCACCTCCTTACAGCCTTCATCTCCCAACACTTGAATCGGCACTCCAGGCACCCCAAGCCCAGCGGTCTCAGTCAGTAGCGTCAGCGAGTCAGACCAATCAGATGCCCCAACCCCGATCGGAGGGCACTCCAGCGGCTCGCGGGAATAGTTTTGAGGCGCATCAAAAGCCGTTCCAAGCGCAGAAGTCTCGGTCAGGAAGGGTGGCTCGTCCGACGCGTCAAGCCCAATCAGGTGAAATTCCAGAGATTCCTGCGAATTCGAATCTTTTGTCTCGATCGCCAATGCAGGGGAGGGTATGACAGATAGGTCAGTCAAATCAGACCACATGCTTGTAGTTGGGATGGTTAATTCCATTTGACTCAGCATGGTAGTGCTTGGAATTGTTGAACCCAAGTCAGACAAGATGTCGGTGCTTGGTACTCTTGGTTCAGGATGGCATGGGTTCAGGTAGGATGATTCAGGGTGGCATGGGTTAAGGTAGGAGGATGATTCAGGGTGGCATGGGTTAAGGTAGGAGGATGATTCAGGGTGGGATGGAGCAAGATGGGCTGGGATGTCCGTTGCTGTGTCTGCTTGCTCCAATAACTGCCAGTTGGAAACAAGTTGATCGTGAACAGGGTTAGGAAGGAAGGAATCGTGGGGTAAGAAGAGGAAAGGAGATCAGCAGCACTAAAAAAACACACACACAGACACACACACACACACACACACACACACATAACAAACAATCGAACATGACAACGAAACACAAGCGAGATGATTAGGAGAAGGAGGGGTGACACACAGAGAAATTCAGCTGAATGTGCTACAGAAGAGTTTGGCCCCCATTTCACTCACCTCAATTGCAAAGCTGGTTGATGAATCCAGCACTGCTGTTCTTGTGAAAGATGTGTAACCAGATGCAGGTGGATCAAGCACAGAGTCGACAGCAGCAGCAGCAGCAGCAGCAGGAGTAGCAGCAGCGATTGGAACTGCAGCATCGATAGGAGCTGCAGCGGTAGGAGCAGCCGCAGCAGCAGCAGCAGCATCACCACTAACACCACTGGCATCAGCGGCAGCAGCAGCAATATGAGCAACGCCTGAGTCCATCGCACGAGCAACGCCTGAGTCCATCGCACGAGCAACGCCTGAGTCCATCGCACGAGCAACGCCTGAGTCCATCGCCTGGCCCCCCGTGCCTGAAGCCGCACCAAAGCTGCCGCTGCCGCTCCTACTGCACAAGCCTGTGGCAAGGCCACGGGCAAGGTCTGGGGCAAGGTTTGCGGGAAGGCCTGAAGCAAGGCCTGGGGCAAGGTCGGTACAGGTGTCAATGTCATTCAACTGGGCGTTGTTTCCTAGGGCACCTTGCAGTTGGAAGAGCCTTGACAGCACCACCTCTCTCTCGGGAGGAGTCAGAAGCACCCCCAGCAGGAAGCCGAGGTTGCAATTGCTGCTCGTGCCAGCTGCTTCGCTGATTCCTGGAAGGTTCCATTCCCGTGAATTGGCTGCTGAGGTGGTTCCTGGGGCAGTTTTCCCTTCTGGGACATGTTTTCCTGCTGAGCCAGCTGGGACAGCTGGGACAGCAGGGACTGCCGGGATTGCCGGGATTGCCATGCCTGATGGTTCCGTTTGCCCTGCGGTGATTTCTGCACCTGCCGGGCTTGCCGGGCCTGCGCCTGACTGGCCTGCCGGCCCTGCTAGGCCAGCCGGGTCTGCTTGGTTCGGAAACTGGTTCGGAAAGCGCTGTGGCGGCCTGAGGCTGCTCCGGTGCAGCACCCCTTGAGTGGCGCAGTGCTGCGGAGCAGATGCAGAGCAGGCAGCAGCAGACCAAAGCGGTCCACCAGACAGCTGTGGAGCAGACGCAGAGCTGGCAGCAGCAGCTGCCCAGGGCGGCTCATCCTGGCAGCAGCTGGAGCTGAGGCTCCCCTCGGGACTATCCGCCTCAGCTTTCACCGCTGTTTCCCTCTGCCGCTTTGAAGCACTGAAGCTTAAACCCAGATCTGGATGACAGCTCAATCCCCCATCTGGCTGGTAGTTCAATCCCCCATCTGGATGATAGCTTACGCCCAAGTCCGGCTGATAGCTTATTCCTCTGGCGTGTGCTGTGGAGGTGATCGGGTGAGGAAGCGCGAGGGCCGGAGCGGGAGCGTAGGCGTCGCTGCGTCGGCGTCGCTTCTGGCAGGTGGCGGGAGGGTGGTTGTGGAAGCCAGACGTGGTCATGCGCACCACCTTTCGCATCTCCACGCGCTCAGGGCGGGTGGGGCTGCCTTCAATCCTCTGCACCTCCCCACCGGTGGAACATTCATCCTCCAAAGTTGCCTCAGCAACAGCATTAGCTGCAGCAGCAGCAGCAGTGGCGCTTCTTGGGGCGGCAGCAATAGGAATTGTGGCGCTGGTTGGGACGGCAGCAGCAGAAGCTGCGGCAGCAGGCGTAGTGGCATGGGCAGCGGCGGTGGGAGGCGCGGTGTGCTTCCCGCGAGGCGGGCCGGGCATGCGGTCCTCCACCTTCCGCGCCGTGCATCCCGTGACGGCCTTGCACACACACGTGAAGTAGATCCTGGGAGGGGGATGGGAATCGCGGGAGAGAGGTAAAAAGAGGATATTCAGTCTCTGAGTCGACTCGGCCTTGCGCACACACGTGAAGTAGATCCTGGTGTGGGGGAAATGGGGAGCATGGAGAGGGATAGGAAATTATTCTCTGAATCTACGCAGCCTTGCACACACACTGAAGTAGATCCTGGGTGGAGTGGGGGGGGGGGGGGAGGGAGAGGGGGAGGAGGGTGGAGTGGCACGGGAGAAAGGTAAGGGATTCAATTTGTGGGCTCCATGATCGGTGCGCGCTCGCGCGCACACACACACACACAGGAGTAGATTATTTGGATTGATGGAAGTGGAGTGGATCCAGGTAGGTTTTATTGAGAGTTTTTTCCACAATTTACCCTACAAAATGAGGGAGATGTG